ATAGAATAGAATAGAATAGAATAGAATAGAATAGAATAGAATAGAATACTTTATTGGCCAAGTGTGATTGGATACACAAGGAATTTGTCTTGGTGTAAATACTCTCAATATACATAAAGGAAAAGATACATTCATCAAGAGTCGAGAATCATACCTACAACACTAAATGATAGTCATAGGGTACAATATGCAATCAAAACATACTAGGAAACAGTCTATAGATCAAAGTATACAAGTGACAAAGTTACAATCATACAGTCATAAGTGGGAGGGGATGGGTGATAAGGAATGATGACAAGATTAACAGGAATAGTAGTGCAGACTTTGTAATAGTTGAACAGGGTTGACGGAATTATTTGTTTAGCAGAGTGATGGCGTTTGGGGAAAAACTGTCCTTGTGTCTAGTTGTTCTGGAGTGCAATGCTCTATAGCGTTGTTTTGAGGGAAGGAGTTAAAACAGTTTATGTCCGGGTTGTGAGGGGTTTGTAAATATTTTCACAGCCCTCTTTTTGACTCTTGTAGTATACAGGTCCTCGATTGAAGGCAGGTTGGCAGTAATTGTTTTTTCTGCAGTCCTAATTACTCTCTGAAGTCTGTGTCTATCCTGTTGGGTTGCAGAACCAAAACAGTTATAGAGGTGCAGATGATAAGACTCAATGATTCCTCTGTAGAACTGTATCAGTAGCTCCTGAGGCAGTTCGAGCTTTCTGAGTTGGTGCTATATGCATGCTTCCAAGCAGCTTTTTCTCTTTGAATCCAAAATGCAGCTTTAATAAATCACTGCATCAAGAAGTCATTAAAGTCAAAATAAAATAGGTGGTTTTATCAAATCCTGAAGAGACTTCCCATGAATAATTTGGATTGTTTTGGAAAGCATTTTTTTGGTTATAGATCTTGAAGTGCTGTAAATGCTGATGAGGACAGGACACAGAAACATTGCCGCTTTAAGACTGAGCATGCGTCCACAGGGTTTTAGCACTTTAAGAAGTTTTCTATATAAAGGCGGCCTTGAGAGGGTGTATCTCTTTCTCCTTGTGTTCTGTCTCCATTGTGGTTCTCCGTGCAGAGTAAAAAAGATTGATTGATTGCCAGGTATTTGCCTATGTATATAGCTGTCTTGTATATAAACCATGGTTAAAAGACGAAGCCTCTGTGCTGTGTTTTGCTCCTGGTTGTCTCACAATAGTAGTCATGTTGCAAACACTCCAACATTGATTAGTAAAAGGGAAATTTTACATATAATTGTTTGAGGTCAGTACTCTACTTGGCACCACCAATTCCACTTGTATTTAGCTGAATGTTATTAGAATGTTATTGCAATAAGGTTCTGCAAAGCATTCAAGAGAAGTGCTCTGCAAAATGTGTTGGCACAAGTGAAACATACTCTTTAAGTATTAAAGCAGCTGCATCCTTTGTATAGAATACATAGCTACTTAACTGCAAGTCCAAAGTGCATGCATGAATACTCACTGGCTGTACCCATGCGCAGAAAACTATGGACAGCCTTCAAAAGGTTGCAGATGCCTTATAGCTTTCTGATTCTTCATTCATTTTTGCATGGTCCAACTATCCTTGTCAAAGAATTATTGGAAAGGGTTACACACAGAAAAGTATAAGCAGAAGATTAAAAAAAAAATGGTTCTATACTTGTTTCAGATTGCACCACCAAAACATTTTATATGAATGCATCCACATTTATGTATTTCTTTGACTCTGTGTAGTTTTTGTGAGAAAGGAAAATACATTTTTAGAATGCTTATATATTCGTAGTATATAAAGTAGAAATATTTACTTAACTTCATATGCATATTAGGCTTTTAAGCAATTGAGATTACAATGTGTGATGAACTTAACTCGTGATAATTTCTTATTAAAATGATGAAAACTAAATTAATGCAATGAAACAGGCATCCAATCAGGGGTTTCTTTTAAAAAGTTTATTAGGCTAATATTGCTATGAAAGTTAATGTGCAATTTAAAAAATACTTAATATTTCTGCATATAAATATCCATGTGTTGCTTGCCCAATATACAGTTTTTAGATCAAATTAATATGGACTATACATATTTATTGTGATTGAACTTTCTCATCTTAAGCACAGATAGACTTGAAGATCAATGGAAAACAAAAACAAAAGTATTCTTTAGGCTTCTGACCGTTAATCTGCTGTTACTGATAACACTAATTCCTGGAGTTGCTTACACCATAAATAGCATTCAATTTTCAAAACAGAAAATGAAAGACACAATTGTAACTGAACAGTTTTATGGTAACCAATTTTTTTTTTAAAGTTAAACCTTCATTTTGTGTTAAAAAGTCCTGTCCAGCAGGACATACATTAGCAGCAGAATACTTTCCTTTTGTGTCTTGAATATTATATATATGTGCATGCACGGTCTGTTCAATTAAGGTATGATCTACATTCATCAGGACATGTTTATTTCAATACATGTAGTACATATGCAATATAGAAAAGAAACTATACAGGCCACTTTTAAACCAAAAGGCACTTACTTAGAACAATATAAAACATTTTGGATGGAGCTTCAACCAACATCAACAACAATTAACAGCCACTGGCATTCCAATGTGAATGTTCAGAAATATACTGGGAAAATATTGCCTCAAATTCGTTAGTGAAATACATTACCAAGCTGTAACACAGTTGAGCCTAGAAAATATATTGCGTATTAATATGCTAAATCTGTATCTAAAACACTATAGATGAATCATCATAAAAGTTGAATGGCTATTATCCATTGATAATAGCACAAATTTCTAAATGGAACCCTTCCTGTAAAGAAGCAGTTCCCTAATATGCTGGGGACGAGTAATAATTATTGTGTTTATGTTCTTTCTTGTATTTCAAAAGTATTAAATGTTATTGGAAAACAACTCTTGGATGAAATGGAACTTCAGCCTCAGTCATCAAGTTAATTTTTATAAATAAAAATGACATAGGCAAAGATTAATGTCAATAAATACAAATATAGTATATGGCTGCTAGTACTTAGTGGATTTGCAAACTCTAGATCTTGGATTATGAGTAATTATCATTAGAAGGACAAGTTTTTCTTCATGTACAACTATTATGAAAAAGTAATTGATATAGTGCAGGGGTGTCAAATTCACAGCCCACAGGGCGGATGCATCACGCGCTGGCCACCCCCACCCCAGTTTAGCGAAGGAGGAAAAAGCCACAATACATCCCATGACGATGACGTGACAATGTGAGTTTGACACCCCTGGGATAGTGGGATCATGGATGGAAATGATGCTGAAAAAGGCCAGTGCAGTGCTACAATTTCATTTTATCGTTTTATGAAGCATTTACTCCATTAACTGGCTTAATGGACGATTGGAAGTAATTCTGTAGTATACAATGCACACTATTTTATTGATAAGTTGCTTACTTTTAAAACTTCCATGCAAAGAAAAGTGATTTTATGCTAAAAGCGATAGTCGTTTAATTTGGATTAACAGGATATAAAAAACAAGAGGAAAAGTAAGACTTATCAAATTTACTTTTGTCCATGTTCTTTAGTATTATGAAAATACAGATGGAATATTTTGACAGTTTTCAGAACAATTACCAGCCTTAGGAATGATTTCATATGAAAGTCTCAAATTCAAAGTAATGGAAATTTATGGGATCACATAAAACATCTTACTGAATATTTCTATTTAAATATTCAAATATACACAGTACCAAGATATTCAGAAGATGGAAAGGAATAATCCTATGCTCTTAGGATACAAAATATTTTTAAGCAGAATGTGGATATACCTACTTTTAAAAAATCTATCTTCCATTATCTAGTGGCTACTTGTAATATTTTTTCAACTCAACATATGCATACCCATGCAGAAAAAAATGTAATATATGATTATCTATCTATCCATCCATCCATCCATCCTAATTGATCCGATCTCCCTACCAAAGAGAGGCACTCATACAAAGAGGGCTCATCCATTGAAAAAACACAAAATATCCCACTGGTTTAATTATATTGTCTTCTATTCATACTTTTTTTAAATCAGGAAATGGCAACTTATGACTGGGAACTTTTAAAATTTCCTGGCAACATAGCCGATTTTATCACTTAAGACTCCAAAATCTTGGCTCTTTGTGGGAAATAGAGTGTTTTAAATCTCTCTCTCTCTCTCTCATAATGGGGGAAAGGGTCAGTGTGTGTGTGGGGGGAGGTGTTAAATGGTCTTATCCCGATGGGTTTTACTGAATACATTTTCACCTTTATTTTACCTCAAATTGCATTAAAGATCAAGAAATTTCACTCAAGGTTGCAAAATCTTTGCTTCATTCTCCATGGTTTTAAATCACTTTAATGGAATTACTGCATGTCTCTAATAATCCCCAGCATTATTAAAAATTTTCTTCACATCCACTTCATACAGAAAATATGGGCTAGAGGTAAAAATTGCAGGTGTATCCAGCTTTCCTCCCATTTCTCAGTAAAAATTCTATCATTGTATTCCTGAAAGCTGATCCTGACATGAGAGATCCCTCCAGTTATTGGGAACTATAGAAGGGGCAGGAAAGATTAACTGCCACTAAATTAAAGTCTTTAATACAAACTTTTATAGAAAATTACAGAAAAAGAAAAATAGAGACACCGATTCTGAAACCAGAGGAGAACATAGATGTTTTTATTTTATTTTTACCATGGGAAGCGTACTGTTTCAGATTTACTTTGTGTCAATTAGTCCACCACTTCCTTTCAGAAATAATCTTTATGATTTTTATAATCAAATAAAGTCTATTACAACACAAATGTACATATAGGTCCAAGTGTAATTTTAACACATACTAGGTTATTTAAATAAACAAACAAATCACCTTGCCTTCTCACAGGATTTCATATGCAACTTATTTGGAAATGTTACACAAAGAGAGAAGCTATGAAATTAGCACATAATATTGGCAATGCATTAAAAAGATTATGGGTGCCACATGGGGGAAAAAAGACATATTCACTCCTTTGCCCTTGAAACTTCTGTATATGACTGCAAGTGTACTCAGTAATAATTAGTATTCTACAGTTTGCAACATTCTGTATTCAGATCCTACTGCCATACACCTCAGAGAAGCAAATGAGTAAAGCAACAACTTACATAGCTGACATCTGTTGATGGAAAATGCAGTGATCTCCTCCCACGAGACAGAGCTGATTAGAATTACTATGGATTGTAACGGAGGATTTTCTTCTCTAGCATATTTTGCTAATACTAAGACACATCCAGAAAGACAACACAATTACATAAGCCCTTTAAAGGCATAAATCAGCACTCCTGAAGGGAAGTATAAATGGATGGGATACAACTGTATATTTTAATAAAAGGTTACCTGACATATTTTCATAGATTAACATTAGTAAAACAACGTGTTCAATAATTCACTGCTTTTGTTGGATCCATCAAATTACAGGGCAGCTTTCTCTGTTTTTAACAAAAACTTTGTCATATTTAGAAAAAAAGCAGGCAAGCATCAATACAGATATCAACCATAATGCTACCTAAAGCAAGATCATATTTCTTATAATTCGCTGAATGTCTTAGTAAAGACTGTACCAGAAATGGCAGTAGTGTTACATGACTACATCATCTTATTTTTTTCATCTATTCATTACTTTAACATAGACAACATATTAAATGAATAGTTCTAAAGAAAGTGCTCTAGAAATAATACATATGTAGCCAAGAACTGCACTGCATTGTGATTATGGTTTTTATAAGGTAACTTCATTTACTGAAAATATCCAAATGCAGCACAATAGTTTGTTATAATCAGAGAAAGCCTATTTGCGGAAACCAAACACAAGCTAAATATCAAATGGAGCCAGAATGTTAGTAATTTCTCCATTAAGATGAAATCCTCATGCAATTTTGTATTTTACTTTATATGCAAATACAATTCTATTTGGCAAATATATATTTTAAAAAGCGCTGGATAATCTAAGCTTCCTAGGGTTGACATATTTAGTTATATAGCAATCAGGACCTTAGAATAAATACTTGAGTGGCACAATATCATTCAAGCTTTTCTGATTGTTCACTGTCAAACTAAAGAAGAGTTGTATCCTAAAAAGGAAACTTAAATAATTTAAATATTTCAAGTCTTTTGCTCTGATAAAGTTACATTATATAAATAAAAATATTAAAGATGACTTCCTTACTATAAATAAGGAAAGGCTAGAAATATAGGGGACAAAAGTAATTTAAACTGGAATAACTTTTCTCAGAAAAGCACCAAAGAACAAGTCAGAAATTGTGAAAGAGAAACACAATATTTATCAGTCAAAAAACAATTCAGAAAAATAGAATTTTCTCCCAGAAACAATCCATAATTATTCAATGATTGTTAAACTGAACATGTTCACAGATATGTAGTTAAGGCTGACTGAAGTACAATTTGCAAAGATTAATCTTTAATCAACACTTTATAGAAAGTTTCTAATGCATATGTTTTTTTTATGGGACAGTATAATCTCATTTTGGGGTGAATTCACTAAAGTAATAATAACTACAGGATTTGACTGAAATATTTCTTCAAGCAGTATGTTTTGTGTTAAAAGAATTAGAATGAGAATAAAGCTTCAATTTTAATTTTTTACAAGCGTAATATGCATACATATTTGTGTCTTTTCTTTATTTTAATATATCAACTTTTTCAGTACCACCCAATTTATATCCAGGATGCCATTTTTAAAAAAGCAAAACAGACATGCATTTTGTCCAGCAAAAGTAATCCACTTATAGAACATTTGGCTTCCATAAATGAGATTATTTTATGTGGTCCCAAATGTGCAAACATGAATGAAAAAGATCGCAGCATTTCATAAGGGTCCACTCTGATAGCTCAAATGCAGAATCTGTACACAAAATCATTGATTGTTATCTCTATCAAGACCTGATATTGTATTCTAGCCAAATGGGCTATCTAATAAGCCAATTGTCTTTGCACATAATTTGCTCTTACATATGAAGGTTTCTAGACAAAATCCAAGAATTACTATACAGTAGGCTTTATGTTTCACAAGGATAAAAGAAGGGGGAAAATATGAAGCATTGCAGGAAAAGATAATTCTTAAATCAAATGGAAGCCTTGATGTTGCTTTAATGTATTCCACACTATAAACATCAAATCCAATCATAACTTGGATGTCTGAATGTTAGTAATACAAAAATGTTTTCACAAAAACATCTGACATTATAAGGAAGGACTAAAATCCCTGAGTAAATCAAAGACAATAGATATGTTTGGCCTGAGAAAACAATTATTTGGGATTAAGTATACAATCTTTTAAAAAAAGTTTAAGGCAACATTCAACTTTGAGAAACACTATTAAAGAAAAACATATTAAGCTAAAAATATATCAATAGCATATAGTTGAATGCAGATTTGCTTTGACAGCGGACGCATTGAAATCAAATTATCTAAGGTAGTCCTAACTAATTTAAAGACTGTTAATTTCAACAGATCTAAATCTATTCTTTTAATAAATAAAAATTATGTTAAAATGCAATGTTTCATTGGGGACTTCCCAAAATCAGTTTAATTTTAATGGATGAAAAGGCAGTAGTAAATTTGGGTATTATTTGTGGTTAATAGAAAATGACTGATAGCTATACAGAATTTAGCATGAACATATTTAACAAATTAGGGACATCAGTTTACTTCAGCTGACGCCAGGCAATGAATCCAGATTATATACTACAGTTGATTTTGTACTGATCAACAAACCGCTCCAAGTTTTGCTAAAATGTGTATGTCTTCCCTTTCAGTATAATGGAGCCTACTGGCATTATTATAGACTGAATTCAAGAACAATTTACAAAATAGCCATTTTCGGTAATACTGTCTTACTTTTTTTTAAGGATGTCCAATAGTGACAAGAAGTATTAATACCTCAGACTGAATCATGTTGTCCATAGAATGCAAATGGACATCTCAACACTGACTCATGGAAATGGAAAAGGTGATTTGGCCTCTCTCACTCAAGCCAAAACAACATGAGAGAGAGAGAGAGATTGCACTTGAGCTGCAGGTCTTCAATGAGTGAAAGATCTTTCATCTCACTGTAGAACTACTTCAGTGACTTAAAGGCCACTTTTAAAATTAAGTTCCTAAGGACTAACTGCATATCATGTTCTCCTTTACCCCAACATTCTCTTCTATGTTACCTTGGACAAAACAGAAAAACTTAAAAAATATATCCGTGATTGTTTTTATTCCTAAACCTGTTAACCTATTATCATTTTTAAATTTTAAATCCAATATAAATGGTTATTATTTTAAAAGCACACCAACAAGAAAAACACAATGTTATTTGGCTAACTGCTCTTGAAGTCAAACAAAGGTATCATTCAATTTTGTTGTAATAGCTTTTAAGAAACTTAGAATTTTACTGGTAATCTTGGAATTCAATCACTTATATTCAGTATGTGTATATGGGCCAATTTAGGTATATAATAACCTACTTTATGACACTTGGTGCACACCAGAGAACTGTACAGAAGCATGAGCATGCTGAGTCCGTACAAAAGCACAGAGGTGTCACCCAATAGTCATGATCCTTCCCAACTTTTAGGGATAAGTCATGATATGGCAGACTAATCAGTAAGGTCCACATCTTCTTCCTCACCTTATGAAGAACCAGACCAACTGGCACTGTGTTTTAATTGGCCTTATATTAAGAATCTTTTCTGGAACTACAGACATTTCTAGATGTTCCTAGGGAAGAACTGGAAACACAGTTTTAGACAAACTGGTACAGTTTGGTGGAAATGTAATATATGTTGATTTCTTCAGAGCAAAGTGTTACTTTCTATAATGGACTTTGCTGAACACTGTGAAGAACTATCTGAAGGAAGATTATTTCATTTCCTAGCTCTTCAAAACATCTTGATTTTTGTGGCATATTAGATTATGATCATGCTACTGTCTTCTGGTGCGGATATGTATGAAAAGCTTGGCATTGCATCAGACACTACCGAACAACCACAAAGAGCAGGCTTTTTGTCTTTCTCTAATTAGGTTAGACACAGTGAATTCCTTATACAATTCAAAACACGATAAATGGATGACATTATCTCCCAAACATCCAAGCTAATTCTTCCAACTTTTTAAACAGTAGTAAAATATGAGATATTGATGCTCTTCTAATCATTTCTCATTTCTATTCTGGATATCTGTCAACAGCTAATATTATGGTTCATTATTAGGCAAAATTTCACATCTAAGACAATTACTCCATTCAGTACCAGATGGATCCAATCATCATAGTGTTGATGACCATAAAAATCATTTTTAACATAATACTTTTAATCAACTGCCCACATGAAACCAACCTCTGTGAAGAGAAGTCACCTTCATTCGAATTGCTTCTGTAAAAGTTCCAGAGTTATTATCAATAACTGGAGAAAATGTTGCTGAATTATATACTCCTTTCATGAGCTCATCAGTAGATAGGCATTTACAGTGCAGATATAAGCTGTTCAAGAAAGAAGAGCTGAACTAAACCTTAGGCAGTTGGCTTGGGAATTAAAAAAAAAATTCTGAGGCCCCAGGTCTGAGCAAAATTCTGACTTGTCTTCAGTAGTGTACAGTGCAATAAGAATATGGCAGATGGCCCCCTAATCTCTGCCAGGGCTGTGATATCAAGATAGTTAACAAACACACTATTGCTGGTTGCTGTTATTTTGCATAAGCCTTGCAGGATCAGCTCCATTCAGATGCACAACTCTTCACTCGTACCAGGGCATTTCAGTTTGTGGTCTTTTCTTCTTCTTTTTACAAAGGCAATAGATGGGGAACACAAATAAACCTATTAAAAACAAGAGAAATCATTGCATTTTAAACATATGCCCACAATACCACTGTACACAAGTGTATTTTGAACTGGGATAAATGTATTCTGGTAAAGTAAAGAAAAATTCAGTAAGTGCACATAACTGTTATTCTCCAGAATCCTCATCCGGCACAGACCAAAATTATCCTACTTTGGGCATATTATGTGAAGATTCAGCTCTCTGGAAAAGGCTCTGAGGATGGGGAAAGTGAAAGGAAAGAGAAGATGATGACAAGGTGGCATGGCAGGGTGAATGGATTCAATTATAGGGACAATTATAGGGACAACACCATTGGGAGACTTGAAAAAACAAGTTATGGAAAAATCATTGAGAAAAAATATCAAGGTGATTGACTAAGAGCCGAAAACAACTTGATGTCACAAAATAAAGAGTTGTGTGGAAGAGTTCATAGTTTTAAATTTCTAGGAACTCGTATTTCCGACAACCTTACTTGGTCGGTCCACACTATGGCCACTGCAAAGAAGGCCCAACAGCACCTGCACTTTCTGAGGCTGCTGAAAAAGAGTGGTTTGGGTGAGAAGTTGCTGGTTACTTTTTACCGTTCTACCATCGAGAGCATTTTGGCATACTATGTAACAGTGTGGTATGCTGGATGCTCTGTAGTGGATAAGAAGATGTTCCAGAGTTATAAACACAGCACAAAAAATCATCAGTTGCTCTCTTTCTTCTTTGGAAGAGATTGCGAAGATCAGACTCCTCTCTAGAGCACAAAATATCTTCACAGACCGTTCTCATCCTGGTCATTCATATTTCGAATTGTTGCCATCAGGGAGACGTTATAGGTGTCTTAAAATGAAGACTAATAGACTGAGAAACAGTTTCTTTTCCAAGGCAATAATTGTCTTGAATCAAACAGTACATTTGTGATTTAGTTCTATGTATAAAGTAGCATTTTAAAACTATCTAACTTAATATATGTTTTAAATAGGTTTTAGACTAGGTTTTTAATTATTATTATTATTACTTTAATTATTTTACTTTTTAAATAGTGTGATTGTGATGTGGTGTTTGGGGCACTGTGCTGGAGTAGCTTTCAAATTTCATCGTATTTTGAATTCAATGACAATAAAGGTTTTCTATTCTATTCTATAAGAAAATGCCTGCTTCAGAATACAGAATTTTAGAGCAACATTCTTTATTCAGATTACTATCGCTTTTCTTTCAAGAGCTCAGGATCATTATGCAGCACATTTTCCTGCAAAGTCTTCCCATAACCACAGGTGACTTAAACCGGACCAGCCTAAAATCATCCAGTGGGTATCTACATGGCTGACGGGAAGATGGATTCATGAAATCATGAATAAAAATGATGATTCAGAAATAGCACCGAAAATATTAAAAGTAATTACTTTATAAAATATAAATATTATAACATTATAAAAATAAAAAGTTGTTATAGGATAACCAATATCTTTAATCTGTCTAAGAACAGTATTTGTTGACAAAGATACTTAGAAATGAATAGTATGGGGTATTTGAAAACAATTGTAAACATTTCAGAAATTTTACTCTTGGAGTATAATTTGCAACTGTATCAGTATTCAGCTGAACGGCACTGTGGAAATTATGCAAATGAAGGCATTTGAAGGCAGTTAATAACCAAGGTATTGCCTATATTTCCAAAAGATGAATTTACAGAATGTACAAAAAAAATCACTTAACTTTCCCTTCATGACTGAAGACATCTTTTTTTAAGTTTTGTCCTGAGAGATCTAGCAATATCTTTTTTAAATACATGAAGTGCAAGGGGTTTTTTTAACAGTGTAAAAATCATATTTTACTTTATCTCTGACTTGGCATATAGAGGTGAAATTTATCCACAGATCACCATTAACATCCACCAATCCCACAGTTTTATCTTAAAATAAAAACAATCTAGAGAGAGCAAAACTCTCATTCTGCAAAGCAAGTGCCAGCCTCCAGCATCATCTTTATTTCCAAGAAAGTAAAAATGATTAAGGAAAGTACTCCTGCCCTGCAGGCCAGATGCATCATGTGCTGCTCACGCCCAGTTTAGCAAAGGGGAAAAAAGTCCCGATACGTCACATGATGCCACTGTGACGTGAGTTTGACACCCCTGTCTAAATGGTTAGGGAAAGTACTCCAGAAAGTACTTTGTCTGGAAGCATGCCCATCTACTCAGAAAATGAATACAAATCAGAGCAACAGGCTTTATTGGCATGATAGGTAGATTCTGAAATGGGGTTATAGCATGCATGGTAATCATTGTGGGTGGACAAATCCACCATTTCATTTCAAGATTTATAAGGCTGCCCAACTCAGACAATGTGACTCCGAGTGACATACAACATTTATAACAGGTTCTTAATTCCAAATGTATCTTTTCACTATGACTTTTAGTTTTGGAAGAGAATTTTAAAATGTGCTGTTCATTAGTTTTCCAATGATTCGTGCTGAAATTACTTATTCTAATCTAACTCGTGACTTTTTTTAAAAAAATCTTCATATAATGATAGGAAGAAGATAGCAGTTTCAACTATATCTGTTGGGAAACAGAGTCAAGGTAAGTTGAAAAAGGAAGATGAATCAGAAAAAAAGTCATTATCTACCTATACTATTGAGATATTACACTGGATCAGAATTCTTTCAATTCATGAAAACCTAATGTAACCTAAACTAATACAATCAGTGTTAAAGTGCAAGTATGTGAACTGTTACTTCAAATATTAAATATAATCATTATCTGTCTTCCAGATGTGCAATTACTGAATTGTATGGTGTGATTTATAGATAAATAAAAAGTTGAATTTCAGGAGATAGAAAAAGAGAGAGAGAGAGAGAGAGAGAGAGAGAGAGAGTTAGTTAATTGTGATTTTAATTGAGTTTCCAATTCAATATCCAATTCCATATCTCTGAAACCTTTTTTCTTTCCCCATTTATAATTTCTTTGAATTCAATATGTTCCTGAGTTTGAAAATTATGTAATTCAAAACATACCTTTTTCTCTTACCTATTAGAACAACAACAGCTCCTACTACCAGTCCCAAAACCAATATTACTGGTGCAATAAGTAACTTCCCACCTGAAAAATAGAATTTTTTAAACATATTGTGAAATATTTCAAACTATGTTATTTTAATTTCTGCTGGGAACAAACTAATAAAAATAAGTGAACTAACATTAAAAATTTAAGGAATATGCATACCATTTACTTACATGAGAAAATGCTAAAATGTTTTGCCTTTTGTGAAAATAATTACCCTTAATGAAAAAATATCATTTAATTTATGCAACTTATAGGCCATCCAACTCCAAAGACTGGAGATCATTGTTTCGTAAATCTAACTGCAGTTGCACACACTTCCTTGTGAATAACCAGGCTATGAGGATAAAACTGAACTTCCCTTATCTTCTCAATGGAAACTATCTTTTTTCTAGGATTAAATTTCAAAATTACTCATCAAAAACCACACTATTAATTCAATGTGTAATTGGCTCCTTACAAAACACCTTACAAAACCCAAAAGTAATTATCTTTTGAAATTGTTGAATCTTCCACTTTGGGGTTTCTTTTCTCCCCGAAGAAAAGAGGCTAATAAAGGGTAAAAGTGAACAATCAGAGTCTACTTTGTTTTTTTCTAAGAGTAGTTTAGAAATACAGTACGTATGAAATAGATGATCACTAGCACCTGCTTGTTATACCGGTAATTGGTTAATCATATACCTGATTCCAACCGTACAAAATCCCTGACTTTGTGCAAGTGTAAGATTTGATGCTGTTTTAAAAGCAAGGGTGGTCCACACCAAATATTCATTTGATATGGATTTGTCTTTTCATTTACCTTACATTTTGTTAATCAATAAAAATTAACACTTGTTTCTGAAAGCATTCTTAATTTATAGCATTTTTGCACAAGTGCCTAAGATTGTTGCACAAGACAGTACATCCAAGGTATTTGCACTTTGCAGAACAAATCTACTGTTCGTCAAATATGAGCTATGCATATTTATTCTAGGTATCAGTCAAAAATCAAATACTGATTTCAAGGAAGCACATTCAAAAATCGAGCAAGTCACTGGCAGCTGTTATTATTTTTTTTTAAGTAATGAAGAACATTTACTGACACTTGTGAATAAAACTGATCTATATATCCAACATATTTTTGTCATAAATGTCAGCATTCTAATGCTGACATTTTATATAATATTTAGTATGAATTTTAGTAATATATTAACTCATTGCACTTATTTAAAAAAAAAAGTAATGTTTCTCTTCCGCTGTTTGTTATTATTTTCACAATACAAATGTATACCCTTTATTCTAAATAGATGAAATTGCAAATATAACCATGTATTACTAGTATCTTTAATTTAGTTACAAAATACATTTAACCTACCAAATATTAAAGTTCCACAAAAAATGTTGTCCTCAGAGAATGTGTGTGTGTGTATTTATGTATTTATTTATTAATGGTAACATTACAATAATGGAGTCCATCTCTCTCTCTGTGTATATGTATATGTGTATATGTATGTGTGTGTGTGTGTGTGTGTGTGTATGTGTGTGTGCGTGCGTGCGTGTGTATGTGTGTATATGTATGTATGTATGGCATTCAGCTTTGTTCGGGCATTTTTCCACGTCATTGTAGTTGTGCTTTTAAAGTTGTAGCAACGTTTCGGCAGAATCTCATCTGCCATCATCAGGCTTCTGT